TGGGTGATTAGTGTGTCTTCTTGTGGGTGTATTGTTGTGACAGACAGCTGCAAGACAGTTCCAATCACAACACCAATGGCGCAGGGCTAGAGGAGATGCGGTGCTTGTGGGTGTATTGTTGTGACAGACAGCTGCAAGACAGTTCCAATCACAACACCAATGGCGCAGGGCTAGAGGAGATGCGGTGGCTTCGGATCTGTTTTTGGTGTTGATTTTATTTACCTTTTTTAGTGTGGCATTTGTGTCCTTATTTAAATATTTGTACAAATATGGTCTTTTAATGAGGTCAGCTGCGCTTGGTCCTTTTAAAGGAGAACAGTAGGGTAAAATAGTTTTAAATAAGATTTTTCTGAAACAGAATAGACATGGACCACAAGCTGCACCACAAATTGAACATAATTTGTGGCACCGAGCTCTCAGTAATTCAAAAACAGGAAACTTAGAGCTATTGGCAATTCTAGGGGGGTGAAAACGCCTGTGTTATTTTTGCTTAGACAGAACAAATTTGCTATCCTGGAAATCTGAGGAGTGAATCTGTGTTTCCAGTATTTTTCTGTCCTCTAAGTGCTGATTAAAGAAAAAAAATCCAATTAGCACGGAAATATAAAAGATAGCCACAGGCCAACAGGAAAAAGAAAAAAAGAAGAATACGAAACACAAACCCCCACAAATACTAATGAAAATCTTTTTTTTACTGTGTATATTTTTAAGGAATTTCGAGGCTGCTTTCCAGGTATAGCAATAGTACCTAATTTTAATTTTTTTAAAATATTACAACAATTTGCGCAGTTGAGCAACTGTTTCCTTTGAATCCAGCTGTTGTTGCAGAAAATTTTAGGGAAGAATTTTTATTGGATTGAATAAAGAGATCAGCTGTGAAACTGATAGACAACTGTAAATAATTTACCTCTTCATTTTTTCTTTTTGATCTAGAAAGGTGGTTGGAAAGACCTTTTGAGTTTAGCAAGGATCCTTCATTCTATACAAACAAGCTGGCCGCCTAAGTAGAATCAGAGAATAGTGGAGCTGAAATGGACCTCTAAGGCCATCAAAATCCTCCTGAAAGTTATTTGGAATCCATCTTTGGACATCAAAGAGAGGAAATGGGCAAAGGAAATATTGGAGGAGAGGGAATAGATGTTAAAAAACTAGCAAGTCTGAGAGAGGGAAGGAGGGAGAGGGAGACAAAGGTTCAAGCTCACAACAGAGAAAGTAAATCCCCGTCAAGGTCGAAGCACAGGGCGTTATGAAAGGCGCACCGTAGGGCGTTATGAAAGGCACACCGTTTCTATTTCTAAGTCCGATCCTTTTTGTCTGTGTGCAGAACCTCTGGGGCAAAACTGCATCCTCCATCAGCAAACCCCGTTTTCAAAATTTGAACTTGTCACTTAGCAAAAATGCAGAGTTGCCTTGGTCGAGGGAGTGGACGCATGTGTCCGAGAACGGCAAAGCGTGGAAATACTTGAGATTTTTTTTGGCCTGCCAGATGTTTTAAGACTCCCGGGAGCCTCAGCCAGCCTGGCTAACGGCGAAGGGTTTCTGGGAGTGTGAAATCCCAACATCTGGAGGGTCACAGCTGGAGAGCCACTGCAGTAAATTAAAAGACTGACTTAGTCAGCCGGGCAAATCAATCCAGAAAAGCCACTCGCCTCCCAATGTTTTAAAGAAACTTGCAGGGAGAGAAAACACAGAAGGTTTTCTCCCTCTTTCGACAGCTCCCGTTTCCCCCAAAATAAGACAGGGTCTTATATTAATTTTTGCTCCAAATAAAGCATTAGGGCTTATTTTTAGGGGATGTTTTTTTTTTCCATGTACAACAATCTACACTTATTCAAATACAGTCATCTCATCTTCTGGTTGATGCACAAGGGTGGAGGGCAGGATTTTACTTAACTAGGGCTTATTTTTGGGGTAGGGCTTCTATTACGAGCATCCTGAAAAATCCTACTAGGGTTTAGGTCTTATTTTCAGGGAAACAGGGCATCTATATTCCCTGAAATATGCCTCCTGCAATATACATATTGTATGTTTTTAAGACCATCTTTTATTTGTACAATACGGGGGAGAAAAAAAAATCAGTTCTGACAATAGTATACAATTTGTTGTGCACACGATAGGATTCACAGTGGTACACCCGTCACTCCTCCGTCTGAATTATGCTGCGGAGTTCATTGCGTGCAGATGATGCCACTCTGCACCCCTAACTTTTAGGGAGCTTCCCCCGCTCAAATCCAACCATCTCCAGCACAGTTTTGGTTTCTGGACTTGGTAGAAGTGCAAGATTAAATGTGGGGAAGGGCCCCTGCTCCCCTGCTCCCCCCAATCCAAAATAGACCACCCCCACCCAACACCACTGAAGGCGGAGGGTGTGAAACTGGTAGGTTTATCGAAAAATACTACTATAGAGGGCAGGGCATACCAAGTATTTCAAGTTGAATAATGCAAGATCAAAGCAGAAGCCCAGAAAGCGACGGTCTTTAGACATGATTGGGCTGTCGGTCCCAAGGGTGGGACCTCCTTCACGGCTGGGCCCCCCGAATTCCATTTCCTAAACGTCTTCCGACTGCTTTCCAACGGTGGGCGGGCGCCAAAAGGCCAAGGGTGGGGCCAAACCTTCTCTCGATACTTTGGGATGAAACTCTGCAAATTTAGCCCGCGGAGAAGCATTTCGCTCGTTTAGAAAGGGGAAATGAACATTCCCAAAGTGTCACAAAGAAGGGGTTCATCTGCGGCAACGGAGGTGGCCAGATTCGGACCCCCCCATGGGCTGGATCCAGTTTCAGACCCCACGGGTTAATTTTCTCCCTCATCCAAACTCACGTCGCTCTCGCTCCCTCCCTATACCCCCAACATCCTCTCCAGTGCGCATGAGCATGCGTGCGCATGAAGTTTTAAGGCTTATAGGGGTGGCACTGCCATCTCCCTCCCAACAAAGCCACACTGCCCATCCACTCCCTGGCTGTCTGCAGGGATCAGAGCCATCGGGGCAGCCTTCCGGCAGAGCAAACGCTCCCCTCCCATCCCGTGTTTCTTCAGGACCCATGCGCTTGCTCCCTACAAGCGGTACCCACTCCACCCCCCCAAGAGATGCGCTTGTACCTACAGGCAGGAGAGGCCAAGGCACCCGGCCATGCTCCCAGGCGGCCGGGCCGGGCGGATGCAGGCTGGCATCCTCGTCAATTCTCTCCAAGAAAAAGGGGCCTCCGGCGGCCTCCCGACTCCCAAGCCGATTACCGACTGAGGGTTAGCAACCGGCTCTTTTCAGCAAAGAAAGCAGCGGGCCGGCTAATCCGGTCTCCCTGCCCCCACCCGTAATCGGCAGGGCCTCCGGATGCCGAGCCGTCTTTCCTCCAGCCCCACTTTGTAATCACAGCCCTTTCCCACTCCTTGGGAGGGGGGGGGAACGGCTTTCATAGAAAAGAAAGACACATTTGGAGAGAATCAGTTCTATGCGACCTCCGAGTCTGGAGGCAACAAAGAGTTAATTTTTATTTATTTATTTCTATTTAAGGGATATCCAATGTGCAAACTCGGTGGAAGTGTGGGATGGGTCAAAACCGCTCCTTAAATATCTCATTCACCTTAAAAGCCCTGTTAGGGTCGCTGAGAGTCAGTTCCAACTTGATCGCACATAAGCTAACATGTATATTTAAATGTTTGTATTGCAGCCCATATCGAGAGATTTCAGAGCAGGATACTGACAATCAAACTGAGTAAAGGTAAAGGTAAAGGTTCCCCTTGACAATTTTTGTCCAGTCGTGTTCGACTCTAGGGGGCGGTGCTCATCCCCGTTTCCAAGCCATAGAGCCAGCGTTTGTCTGAAGACAATCTTTCCGTGGTCACATGGCCAGTGCGACTTAAGACACGGACCGCTGTTACCTTCCCACTGAGGTGGTCCCTATTTATCTACTTGCATTTGCATGCTTTCGAACCACTAGGGACAAGCGACGGGCGCTCACTCCGTCGCGTGGATTCGATCTTACAGCTGAAGATCTACAGCTCTTACAGCACAGAGGCTTCTGCGGTTTAACCCACAGCGCCACCACGTCCCATAAACTGAGTAAGGTTTACTTAAATAATTATAGAACAATCGGAGCCCACAAGACGCTCGGTAAGAGCGATCCTACAACGAAGCCAGTGCTGGCACTAGCCAGGCCTTCAACATTCAGTATTCGAATACCAGCTGTTGGAAAGCAACCAGGTGAAGAAGACCTATGGAACTGTCCTATGGGCGCTTGTAAGTTTCTCCCAGATATATCGGACTGGATAATGGAAAGGGGGGATTCAAGGCTAGACAGTATAGCAGGCGTACTCCACCCGCAGGCACGGCATCTGAAGAAGGACGCTTGGAAAAATAAAAACTCATTGGTCTTCAGACGGTTAGACTTTTCCTGGGTTCTCTTCAGCATAGACAGGCCCCTGGTCTGATCCAGTGGGATCCCTTATGACCTCTGGGTGGAGAAGACCAACTCCTGGCCTCCTGTGATTCGGGATCCCAAGAGATAACATACCAAGGACCCTGATGATCCTCCAGTCCCTGCTTCGGTTCCAGCCCCACGCTTCTCCCCTCCCCGGCCTTTCCACGCACCCGTCAGCAAGCGGGCCAAGGCACCTACCCGTGCTCCGGCTCCTCCATGGGGTCCGTGACCTCCGAATGTACCGTCGAGTCAATGGCGCTGTCCGTCTCCACGTCATCGTGCATCTCCTGGTGGACCAGGGTGCTGGTGTCCTCGTCGGTGAACGTTTCACACTCGCTGTAGGTGCTTTCCGAGCCCATGTACGCGCTGTCCGTCACCTCATTGGCCTGGTCCAAACAAGGGAAGAAAGAACTGTTTTAAGAGGTACGTCTGCGATGTACAGTTTAGAAGCCTTGTGGCACGGTGGTTAAACTGCAGTATTGCAGTCAAGACCCTGCTCAGGACCTGAGTTCCAATCCTGGCTGACTCAGGGAACCATCTCAAGCCTGACTCAGCCTTCCATCTTTTGAAGGTCAGTAAGCAGATTAGCCGGTTCACTGTGGGTCGGGCAATGAGTAGCCTGCATAATTAAACTGTAAATCAGCCAGAGAGTGCTACGGGGCGGTATAGAAGCAGCACAATTTACTTTGCTTTTGTTTTGCTTTCAGAGGTTGCCAGCACAGCAAGCAGCAACCTGTAGCGGCCAAGATGACGATCGTGTAATCATACTTCGGCCAATGCTGCACTTCCAATAGCATTAGAAAAACAACATTTACGGACCAAAGGTTGGGAACCACTGAAGCAGGAACCTGCTTGGTGAACTTAAACCCTGCTACCAGAGATGATTCACACTGTCATTTTATGAGTGCTGGCATATTTATATTTATGATTATTCCAGATGACTATGGTTATTAACTGGTTCCCTACCTAGGTCTCAGCCCCCAAATTAAACATTCAAACACAATCCAGGCAGTGCAAGAGGAAGGCGGGTTCACAAAGCATCACAAGGAATTTAATTTTGTAGAATAAAGAGAGGAAGAAGGAGAGAGACGGACGGAGAGAGTATTGGTTTTCAACATGCACGAATGTCCAGCAACGGAGAAAAAGAATTCAACGACTCTGGATACGAATCTATTCCTTCAATATTCATATCCTAAATAAAACCTCTGCATGTGGTTCTTCCAAAATCCCCATACTGATTCCAGGGATCAGCACAGTATTAGAAACTGCCACGTGTTTGAGCTGCAAAATGTGGGAGGGTTTTACAGATGTTCCCTTCCCGACCCGCGCCGGAATAACGTCTAGGATGAGAAACTAACCACTTCAGCCGTTCTCTTCCGAAGGGTGTTACAAAAGCAGGTGCATGACTCCTGAAGGACACACCACTTTCTTCACCTCAGAAAATCAAGCCAGTGACACATATCCTTCCTTATCACATACAGAGAAGCCAGTTATACAAACAGGATGGAGTTCTGCATTGCAAACAAAGCCAGGCGTAAGCATTTAGTGAAGGAGCCAACTTTTACAAGGTTGAGGCAACCTCCTAGAAGTGCTGGAACAAAAACAGGCAACGGGTGACTGATAACGTGACGCAAACAAACACAGAGGTTGGTTTTGGGTTCGAAATTCCAAAATCTATAGTAGGGCAAGATCCCGTATTCATTCGGCCCACCACGAAGGTAGAAACAAGAGTCTAGGCTTTTGGAAAGGTGCTGGAAAAGGATGTGGCATTGGGGTGGGGGGGGAGAAAACATTCTGATCTTGAGGTCTAGCGTCTTGAAATATAATGGAAGAAGGTTTGGTAGCCCTTCCTTTCTATTTTTTTTCCTATCCCATTCCACTTATTTTTGTAATACGCTACCGGACAAACAGGTCTGACAGCATAGAGGCTGGCACACACATTTATGCACTTTTGCTTACCTCAATCTAGATTTTGATACCTGAAGGATCCCCCTAGATTTGTATTTCGTACATGGATAATCTTTCAGCCTCTGAGTTAGAAGCAAAAATGGGCTGGATTCCACTAACACTCAGTTGCCTTAAAGGGTGCCAACTCTGCTGCCAGCTTAACTACATATTTATATAAAAAATATTTCAGACAGCCTTTTAGGGGAATCAGATCAGATAACAGATGCCTGACATTCCCAGGAGTCCTACAGAATTGTATAGACCTTGGGGCGAGGGACCATGTTCATAGCAACTGGCACGTATCTCAGTTAAGGGTTAATTCTAGAATAAAATAGAACAATCACAGGCTATGTGATTGAATATCACAGAATATTAACATTCATCTGAGGATCAAGATGTAAGTTTTTCCATTGTTGGAATAATTTCAGGCAACTTGTCTATTTCGACAAGCTTTATTTATCTACATTGCTTCCATAGCCACAAAATAAGTCAGAACTTAAGTCAGAATAAGGTCTTCAAGGGTAGTCTTGTGTAGGGAGCAAAGCAGCAGTCCAGCTCTCCGATGATGAAAACATATGAGATGGTTGTTTGGCCCCAAGTACAAGAGTAAGGGCCAAAAGAGGGGCATAAAGCCAGACAGGTAGAAAAATACTCTTACGATGCCCATGGCCTCTTCTAAACCTCCACTGTTGTTGTTGTTTAGTCGTTAAGTCATGTCGGACTCTTCGTGACCCCATGGACCAGAGCACGCCAGGCCCTCCTGTCTTCCACGGCCTCCTGGAGTTGGGTCAAATTCATGCTGGTAGCTTCGCAGACACCGTCCAACCATCTCGTCCTCTGTCGTCCCCTTCTCCTCTTGCCTTCACACTTTCCCAACATCAGGGTCTTTTCCAGGAAGTCTTCTCTTCTCATGAGATGGCCAAAGTACTGGAGACTCAGCTTCTGAATCTGTCCTTCCAGTGAACACTCAGGGTTGATTTCCTTCAAAATGGACAGGTATGTTCTCTGCAGCCCAGAGGACTCTCAAGAGCCTCCTCCAGCACCACAATTCAAAAGCATAGATTCTTCGGCGGTCAGCCTTCTTTATGGTCCAGCTCTCACAAACCTCCATACATACCTCATATTTCTTAACCAGGGCCTAATTCCTGAAACCATTAATTCTACAGAGGTAGAGGAAAGAGTTAAAAATGATATAGACTAAGGATGTGAGCTATTTTCTTATTTTCACCTATTTTCCAAAGCCTTGCCATACCAAAGATGCTTTGCCAACATTTCCCCTCACACCAGCAAGATTCCCCAGCTTCCTGCAAAAAAAGCTTTCCCCCATTTTCCAATCCCCCCCCCATTTTTTCCCTATCAAAAATAATTGGTAACCAAGCTCAACATTTTTCCCAGAAGATCCCGCGCAAGAAACCGGCTGTCACATCTAAAAATTCCAGGTGTTCTCAAAAATAAAATAAAATAAAACAAATAAATGAATGAATGGTGAAACTTTTGAGAAAATGTCCTATGAGGCTACTCAGGAGGAGGGGAAAAAAGCCCAACCTCACACAGAGAAATCCTCACTTTAGTTCTGCCACAAAAACCAAGATTCTGTTAGATTTTCATCCGTAATATGTACCACTTTGAGCTCTTTGAGAAGGGATGAGATAAATATTTCCTAAATTCCTGTTGCAGCGTTCACTTTAAAAAAAAAGTAAGGCATTGTAGGGGTGATTTCTCAGCATGTCCCGTAAGCACTTTAAAATGCCTGATTCTCACCTTTGCCCTGACCTCTCCTGACAGCCCCAGGAAGGACCCGATGGTTTCCACAGCGGCTGTTTGAAGCCCTTTCACAGATTCTTTTGCTACGGAAGTTTGTTTTTGTATTTCCAACAGGCCTGACCTCAGCACATTTTCTCCTCTGCCGATAAATCCTTTTGTACAAGTTGCCCTGGGACGGTCAGCCAATGAATCCTGGATCGGGCAGAGGAAGGATGAAGCGGCGAGATTTCTGCAGAGGCCACTAAACCGGCGCGCCCAGCCAGAAGAGCGAGCGGCCGCCTCCATAAATAAGCAAAGAAAAGGCTCACAAACATAGGTGGTTGGCTTTTCTTCAAATAAAATAAAAATTTTAAAAAAATCAGCCCACGTTTCTACAGTTTGTTTTACACACAGCTTTGGAAAAGTTCCTTTTTTTGGAGGGTCAGGGAACCACAGTTCCCAGAATCCTCTGGCCAAGTCATGTAAGAGAAAATCCAAAGATCAGGCTTTGTAGAACATCTGGAAAAGTTACATTTCAGACCCGCCTTTCTCCTGATAAGGCAGCTTACGGTATTCAAAGGAACAGAACGAAAAACATAATAAGTTAAAACAAAACATTGAACGGCATGCTAATTAAAATGCAATTGAATAACTGAAAGCAATTAAACATTAAAAACTCTACAAAGTTCTACTTCTTCGAAAACCATTTTTCCAACTCTTGCACAATCTAGCAAATACACCAAGGAGCCTCTTTAAGAGATGTAAAAATCTGCCTTGTTTTCGTGACGTCCTACAAAATCCTAACAGCATTCTCATCCTGGCTTATTTTGATATTGTCAGAAATTTTCAATTCTCTCATGTAAATCTGAGCATCCCTCCCCACCAACATGCCTACATGATTTTAGAAAAGTTCACTTATTTTTCAATTGTGCATATATTTCTGTGAATTCTTTTTTTTCTCCCTTGCCAAGCTGCATTATAACCCACAGAAATGTACAGGTGTCGGGGGGGGGGAGAGATACACTGCATCCTACCACCAGTCCAAGGAGAAACAAAATGGATTATTTTCATTGAGAGACAGATGAACCCAATCATATTCTTCCCTCGTCACTAGCCCCTTCAAAACCCTTAAGTCACAGGTCTTCCAGAAAAGGCTTTTATCCTGTGACAGAATAAAGTCTACAACATTTCATTGGGTGGGTGTAATAGTTTCCAAGTAATGGTCACTTTTTTCAAAAACCTCTAAGGAGCAAAAGTCAAGAGTAGCCGGACAAAGTATTTTAATTTGTAGTGCTATTAGGAGAACTTGACTGGGTCCTCATCCTTATAGTACCGATCTATGAACACATGAGTCAAAACAATATGATAGAATCGTAGAATCATTGTAGGGTTGGAAGGGACCTTAGAGGTCTTCTAGTCCAACCCCCTGCCCAGGGTAGAAGACCTCACACTATCCCGGACCTCATACCATCTTGGGTGGATGGCTGTCCAATCTTTTCTTGAAAAGCTCCAGCGATGGAGCACCCACAACATTGGGAGGCAAGCTGTTCCATTGCTTAATGGTTCTCACCATCAGGAAATTCCTCATTTCCAGGTTGGATTTCCCTCTGATGTGTTTCTACCCCTTGATTCTTGTCCTACCCTCAGGCTCAATGGAGAATAAATTGATGCCCTCTTCCCTGTGGCAGAAGATATT